AGGTTGTAGGGGTCTAAGTACTAACACTATTTAGGCACGTACAGATTGTTAGGTGCTCTTATTGAAGAAGTCACAGATTTTTTTCAATGAGAATAACCAAGAGGGGCCTCTGACGTACTCATCCCCGATTTGTTGAAACTTTATTAACCACTGCCAAGTGTCTATGAAGTCTTTGCGTACATTCTCCAATGTCCGAAGTTCGTCTTTGATTATGAACCACTTAGTTGTCTTTTTATTGACCTATTTTATCTTATATGAGCACTAAACGTTATCTTTTAGAAAAATTCGAATTTTACCGCGATATTATCGTACCTTTTTTTCATCATCATATTGCGGTCAAAAGTTTCCATCAACCTTGTGAATTAGTATATTTTCATGTGTTCTTATAAAGCCCTGGTCAAACTGGCTTAAGCTTTTTTCCTGTAATCTTAAAAACTGGAAAGCGTCCAACCATTTTTAGCTTTAATTATAATATTTTAGGGGAAATATTCTTATTACCCTAGGATAAGAATGCGCTGAAATCTCGATTCGCTATTACGGCGTTTTGCAATTAAGCATAACTGTTGAATTTCTATTAGTGGACTTTCTTATCTTGTTGTTGGATACTTGTCGTTTTCCCCTGTGTGTACCACCCCACAGCTCAGCATTCAAAAAGATAGAGAAGGACTGACCGGACAAATTTACGGTACACATGAATATTTGTACCAATAGAGATGTCGCATAGGAACCTTAGACACTAAGGCTGGTGATCGACCGGCAAGCAGCATCGATTCGGTGATTATTTTTCCGGTAAATCATCTAGTGCGATTATTCGCCACAGGGATTCGCGATCAACAGAATCGAATGCAACGGCAAAGTCAACAAGAGAGGCAGTCGTTGGTCGTGTTTGTCGTTGCCTTTATTGAATCAAGAGTCCCCGCTGGAGTCCAAACTGGTTGTATTTGGAAGACAGAGAAAAGCCGAGACCTCAACCGGCTTTAGCCAAAGGTCCACGGTGGTGAGTTGGGTGCCTGGCTGGAAAATGCAGGCGAAAAGATGATGGCAGTCATGCGGAGGGACGCCGCAATCGGGACAGCTGTCGGATGTGGACGGATCAAACCGGTGTTGGTACTAGCAAAGGCAGAAAGAACAGTACCAACGAGGTCCAGGGTTGGGCTCAATCCCGATGGTGAGGAGGAAAACGAGTCAAGGCAAAGTGGCCGAGAGGAGCTGCTCCGTCATGAAGAACACAGGTTGAGAGGAATGAAGATTGATCCAACATAGAGAGATTGGTGTAGCAGACCTTGGCCGCCATAAGGCAGGTGGAAACGCGACGAAGACGCGTCTGTTGTGGTTCCAAGTCTTTGGTCGTAGGCAAATATGGCGAAGTCCAAGAGTGTGCCGCAGTTTAAATATGTGGTCCGCACATCCATGCCAAACACGGAATCCGGCCTGTATAGACCTAGTCCTCGAGTCACACACACCTGGAATCGTCTGAGAAACGAAGATCTTCGCAGCTACGTTTATAAGGCCTATGCCGCGGTATTTCTCGCATCTCGTCTTATTTTCATTCGCGAGGACAAGTACAAGGATGCTTGAGCCTCAGTCACAAGAACCGACCTGATTTCTCCTCGCTTGTTCAATCACCACATACAATCAGGGTGTTAGAGTGTCGATACAGGACTTGTAGATTTTAGCGGGTCTACCGTCCTTTGCGAGTGCGTTTTTGCTACGCAGTCTTTATATCTCTTCGGCGACCTTTCCCCCGGAAGGGGATTTGCATGACACTGCATAAGTTGGAGAGTGGTAAACACTGCTGTAGGGCGGAGCGAGATTGTGATGGATTGAGCCTCAAAATTAAAAAGGTTCTGGACGTATTGACGTCCTCTTGTACTTGTACTTGTTACGGCTGTGATCATGCCTGATTTAGCCGGCTCCAATGATGTCCCGA